ATATTGAACATTGCTCGCCTTTAAAGGCATGCTACTCTTTTATTTTAAATGGAACACCCAGTATATTATTCCGACATTCAATGGAGAATTCATATCTCTTCAAAATACTATTAAGGTTGCCTACCCCTTAAACAAAGATTTTCCTAGATATTTTCATTTACATGATTTGACCTGAGTAGATTTTTATACCATATTTGATAAAATCTAGGTGGATGTGGTATGTCTGACATTACTTCAATATAGCTGTCTAATTAGTGCAACTTTACCAACTAGTTATCGTTTTGTGTCAGTTAAAATTTAAAAAAATCTCAGAAATTTGCCAAAATGCAAACTTACCCTACATCAGAGAGAATTGATATGATTCTATTAGTTGGTGAATTCCCCAATTAATATGTGAATTCAATGCAGTGTGAATTCCCCAATTAATAGAATACCTAAATGCTAGACAGTGTTTACAAAACACTCGACCAACCATTGTCGACAATATGAGAGGAATTATTGTAGCTGCTGTTCGAGGTAGAACTCCACATAATATGCCTTTTAAAATGAAAAGATCCTTTTGAAAAGACAACCATTTTATGCAGTTAACAGGAAAGGAAGTATTTTGAACATTTTATTTCATCTAGCTAATTTTTGTCACATAATTATAGGTCAATATTTTTGTTAAATTAACAAAAGGTATATCACAGCCACCTAGATTTTTTCTAATAAGAAAGATCTGCTGATGCAAAATCATAAAAATTAAAATATCTAGGAAAATATTTGTCTAAGGGGTAGGCAACCTTAATAATATTTTGAAGATATACAAATTCTCCATTGAACACCGGAATAATATACTGAGTGTTCCATTTAAAATAAAGGAGTAACTTGCTTTTAAAAGTGACTAATGTTCCATATTAATTATGTCTCACCCTGTATAACTTTTCGGGTCAAATTTTAATTTGGTTTAACATACAATGGTTACTGTAATTTAATATCACGCTATACAAGGTCAACTAAAATTTAGGTAGCTGTTATCGACATTTAAAATTTACACTTCATTTTCACAAAATGTGAAATATGTCAAAATTATTAGATTTTAGGTATATGCTTCTTTAACAAAACTCACCTTTATTTTTTTCCTAGAATCCGAAAATCAATTAATATATAGGGTGTTCCATTAGAAAAAAACACAACTATGATGTGTAACTTTTTTGGGGACACCCTTATAATTCTATATATTTTTATAAAATGCTTTCAGTTAAGGAACATATCCTGCCAACATTTAATATCAATATAAACTACCGTTCTCGTTAAAGCTTCCGCAGCGTATAATCGTTGGCCACCCTGTACTATCTGCCGAATAAAAAAATAAATATGGCAAAGTAATTTTTTTTAAAAACTTATTATTTTAGTATATTATAGGCTTTGTTTTAACGAGCACCAGGGAAATACAGTAAAATAAATAAATGCGAATCATGCTTACTAAAATTATGAGACAAAAAACTGTCTTAATCTGTTTTCTTAAATATTAATATTAAGAAAATATTTTCGTGACAAAATATATTTTAGAAAATTTTCCAATTGCTCATTTATTTTATGAACGATTTGCTATAATGACTAAATGTACGATATGGCGGCGATATCAGCACTAACAATCTTGACGATGTAAGACACGTTAGCACGCAAAGGCGTTGTTTTGATTTTTTACTTTCGGTTTAATAACTTAAACTCACAACTATAACATGGCATTCTGCAAGACGTTTGTTTGTAATAAAGTAAGTTTATTAACACGTTTTATTAAAAAATAAATTTAAGAAAAAACAGTAATGTTTTTATATATTGTAAGGGTTGTATTTGTATCATGATCGCATGCAAAGTTAGCGTTTTGATTTGTTGTGACTCTGTTTTTTTTTTCTCAGGTAAGATTTCGCCAGACGATGACAGAAAAAAAGCAGATGACGTCCATACCAATCCATTTAGTTCACTAAAAAAATTCTAATATTTTTAAATTTAACTATGGATGGGTTTATACATATATAAATCTGTCATGCGTCTTCTTTGTTGTTTTTAACCAGTTTTATTGATTTATTTAAAAAAATGACAGATCATATTTCAATATTATTGGTTTTACGGAACGATGAACGATAAACGGCCGCCGATGCGTATGAACTCGAAGACTTTTGAGGACAACTCTCAAAAACTGTTGCAAAATTTTAGATTATAATTTTGTGTTAAATTATGTCAAACAGAAATAATAAATATTTTGCTTTTTGCATTTAGACTGTGTTATTACGTGTGTTTCTTGTTTTTTAAAATTAAGTGGAGGAAAACTCGAGAAAATTAAGTAACGGTAATGCGGTAACTACTAACTACGAAGCATGTTTTTTAAGTAAGTACCGTTTTGCGATTCCGCCGCCGCAGCGCTACGGTCGGCGTTCCGCGCATGCGCGCTGGTTACCTACATCTCTTGTCTATGCACAGACGCCAGTACAGTCTGATTCTTCATTGTATACGTTGTTTATTGAGTGTTTAAGATGCCTCCGACAATCATGAGCCCCGCCGATTGTGAATTACGGGCTGTCATACGATTTCTTAGTGCTAAAGGCGTAAAACCGATCAATATTCATCGTGAGATCTGTGAAGTTTACGGACAAAACATTATGAGTGATGGAATGGTAAGGAAATGGGTGAGAGCATTTAAAGATGGCTGCACGAATGTGCATGATGAAGAACGGAGTGGGCGTCCTTCGGTCGTTAATGAAGATTTGGTGCAGAAAGTGGACGAAAAGGTGAAAGAAAACAGACGCTTTACAATTTCATCATTGTGCGACTACTTTCCTCAATGTTCTCGTAGTGTTTTATATCGCATTGTGACCGAGAACTTGAATTACTGGAAATTGTGTTCACGTTGGGTTCCGAAATGTTGACGGATTTGCACAAAACCCAACGTTTAGGCAGTGCATTGACTTTCCTTGAGCAGTACCACAATGAAGGTGAAGATTTTTAGACAAAATTGTTACTGGTGACGAAACATGGGTGGCCTACGTCACACCAGAATCGAAACAACAGTCCATGGAATGGCGACATTCATCATCACCCAAAACAGTGAAGTTTAAGCAAACAATTTCTGCCCGGAAAATCATGTGCACAGTTTTTTGGGACAGAAAGGGAGTATTGCTAGTGGAGTTTCTGCCTCGTAATGAGACAATCAATGTCTTATTGTGAGACATTGAACAATCTGCGCCGTGCAATCCAAAACAAAAGACGTGGCAAGTTGAGTAAGGGTATTGTTTTGCTGCATGACAATGCCCGTCCACATGTGGCTAATCGCATCAAAGATCTCATCAAATCTTTTAAATGGGAAACTCTAGATCATCCTCCATACAGCCCTGATCTGGCGCCCAGTGACTACCATTTATTCCTGTACTTGAAGAAACACCTGGGCGGTCAGCGTCTTCAAGACGATAACGAAGTCAAAACAGTTGTGATACAGTGGTTAACCAGTCAGGCGGCAGAATTTTATGAGGAGGGTATTGAAAAACTGGTGCCACGTTATAACAAGTGCCTCAATATTCACGGAAATTATGTAGAAAAGATTAAGGTACAGGCTTTCATGTAAAAATAAAATTATTGCGATATCTTTGCACGTTTTTTTTTAATTCCAAAACGGTACTTACTTAAAAAATATGCCTCGTAGCTTATGGATGGGAACGAAGCAGCATGGGGCTCAAGCTTCATCCACGCTGGGGCACTTTATATGCAAGAAAAATCATTCCTACTGGGGACACTCGTCCACAGGACATCCGTACATAGGATAATAGTACAAGGGAACACTACCCGTACCTTGGATACTACTACGACCTTGGATAATGCCCGTACCTTGTAAATAGTCCGTACCTTGGACCCTCGGAATTACTTCCGAGGGCTCACTAAATAATAAAGAACATGTCCTTTCTTCCATGTGACATTCTGGAGGACAAAAGAAAAGGGACGCCAACGTGCCAGCAAAATACAAATTCAAGTTAGGTTGGGACATCCAAAACTCTACCCTGTTGCTTTGAAATAGCAGCTGATTCAAATTATACAGCAAGATTTAAATAATCACCATTTCTAAAAGCTGGGATACAACAGAGCGTCAAAACAAAGTGAGGTTAAGCACGGAGAGAGTTGACAGAAGCGATGTTGACAGCGCCTCCTCAGAGCGATAACAGGGTTGTGTCGAACGATAACAGGGTTGTGGACTAGAGAACGTAAAAATTCGTCAAATAAATTATCCGGCCGGAACGATAGGGAATCCGGTGATAGTACGCCAGACATCATATATCATAATCAAAGACATGTAACGAACTAAAAACGTTACAATTTTTAACAAAAGAGTAATAAAGTACAATAAAAAAAATGTAACTAAAAACATGCTGTGTTTCTCAATTCAGACGTATTATTTCTATCACGTAAACTCGAGTATCAAAAAGAAATTTTCTATTAATTTTAGAGTCGCGTAGAGCAAGCGAGCGAGCGAGCAACTAGGCAAACATTTTTAATATTCCAGGTAGGATGCGGAGATAATAGATTTACCTCTTCCAACTAGAAGTTGTGGCGTAGTCAAAATAAACGTTGCGCCGCACTCATCGCAACAGCTCCTCCTCCGGTAAAATAAGTCATACATATAAAATAACTCGGTCGACTCGGGATGTGGCCCGCATTCTAAATATTATCCAGAGCGCCCGATAGCCAACGCTGTTCGCAAACTTTAGCTATTAATCGGACGCAAGTGCTACGTAGAGGCGAAAGTTTTATTAACATTTGTTGAAAATTGTTGCGGATTTGTTCAAGTCTTCGCAGAACTGGTTCGAATAAGTATTATATACGTTTTTGTTCCTCGTTTGTTTCTGAATTAATAAACCTCATTAAGATTTATAGATCTGAAATATGTAGGTGTTCTAATTTTAAAGAAATGAGCTTCTTGTCAGTTGTCTTGAACTTCTTGTCATAATGACAAGAAAAATGAGGTGACGAGAATGGTAAAAGAAGAAAAGAATAAAGTGTGGGATGACAAATGCAAAGAAATTAATACGTATATAGGCGGAAGAAGGAATACGGAAGTATGGAGATTTATAAAAACAACTACAACTGAAAAACAGGAGTCAGCCCCTATAGAAATAATAACCAACAAAGAATGGGTGAAATATTATTCCAAATTGTTGTCAGAGAACAGACCTGAGTATCAAGAACCGCCACAGCCAGAAATAAACATTGAAGGAGAGGAAATCTACGTGGATACCAACAAAATAAAGACCGCTATAATGTCTTTAAAGAATGGAAGAGCATGTGGCCCAGAGGGAGTATATGCGGAACTCATAAAATCTGGAAGCAAAAAACTGTTTAGAAAGTTAACAAACATAGTTAACCAGTGCTTAAATGGTCATCCAGTACCTGAACAGTGGAAAAAAGCATATATCTCTTCTATATATAAAAAGGGCTCAAGGAAGGATCCCAATAACTACAGGGGAATTTCGGTCACCAGCACTATGAGTCGCCTCTATGGAAGGATACTGAGGAACTTAATTGAAGAAGAATACTCCAGTTACGAAGAAGAAGAGCAGAATGGTTTCAGAAGCGGAAGATCATGTACAGATAATATCTTTGCATTGAAATCTGCAATGAACCAGGAAGTTCATATAACATTCATTGATCTACAAAAAGCATATGATACAGAGCCAATAAAATTATGGGAAGTATTGCACGAATCAAGAATTAACGCATCTCTGATAAAAGCTGTACAAAATCTTTACCATGGAGGAAAATCACAAATAAAAACGGTCAACGGTCTCTCAGAGGAAATTTCTATCACTAAAGGGCTCCGACAGGGTTGCTGTATATCCCCAACACTATTTAAAATTTATATTGCCAAGGCCTTACATCTATGGAAAAGAAAATGTAACGGAATGGGTATAGAACTAAATGACATATGCCTATACACCTTGCAATTTGCTGACGACCAGGCCATAATTGCAAACGACAAAGATGACATGGAATATATGGTGCGGAAAATAATTGAAGAATATGCTAAATGGGGTCTCACAGTAAATACAGAAAAAACAAAATACCTTCCAATTGGAGCTAATACAGAAAATCTTATTTTAGACAATAATATGAAAATTAGGGCAAGTGAAGATTACAGGTACCTGGGATCGATATTTACAGGAGATGGAACGGACGATAGAGAAATAAACAACAGCGTACTACAGGCACGAAGAGTTATCAGATGCATAAATGGCATTCTATGGAGCACTGAAATTACAAAAAACAGGAAATATAATATATACGAGACACTAGTTAAAAGCATATTACTCTATGGATGTGAAACATGGCGACTCACTGAAAGGAATAAAAAGAAATTAGAGACAACAGAAATGGAGGCGATTAGAAGAGCAATGAGAATTTCACGGAGGGATAAGATCAGAAATGAAGACATTAGACAACAGATGGGAACAGAGGGAACAATAGTAAATGATATAGAACAAAAACAATTAATATGGTACGGCCATGTTCAGAGAATGCACAATGAAAGAATTCCAAAACAAGTCATTCATTGGATACCACCTGGTAAACGAAAGAGAGGACGTCCCAAGAAAACATGGATGGAAGGAATAAGGTCGATGAGCGAGAAAAATCTGACCGAAGATCAATGGGAAAATCGCACAGGGTGGAAGTTAGGCATCGGACAACGTCGTAGGACTTCTGACCCGAATTTATATATATATATATATATATATATATATATATATATATATATATATATATATATATATATATATATATATATATATATATATATATATATATATATATATATATATATATATATATATATATATATATATATATATATATATATATATATATATATATATATATATATATATATATATAAATATTATGTACAGTATTGATAGCTAACAGTATTTTTTTCTTTTAATGCTAATACATTTTTTAATACAATTCTTCGCATTACATTGATACAATTTTTTTATTACAAAAACCAGAGTGAAATTAAAATTTTATTGTCGGACTTTCATTGACTTTAGTTAGACAAGGACACAACCGGAGTTGGATCTGTGCCAAAAGTGTAATGAAAAAACCCGTAGCTGCGAAAAGAAGGATTAAAAAGTCCTCTACGATAATTTATCAAATATAGATAGATGCATTAAACATGCATCCGTGGATGTTAAGTATAATATGCGTCTATTAAATTTTTTAAAAAGATCATTCCTGGATATTAGAAAATAAACTATTCTTTCTTTATAGTTCTAAATAATATTTCTATGCAAAATTTATCACGAAATAGTTACTGGCGTATACCTATATTTCAGAATTGTCTATTTTTTAATTAATAAGTAATTTAACGTTAAAAATCTTATCTCTTTAATTTGATATTTATTCCCTCTGCAGATTGTATTAAATGTTATTAAATATATTTTAATAACGTTATTAATAACAATTTAATATAAATATTCTATAATATTTCAATCGTATTATTTGTTTAATTTATTTCATTTTTGCCATTTCATTTCAATTTAAATATAAATACAATCGTTGTACAGGGTGGGTCAAATTCGACGCTTTTAAATGGAAACACCCTTTTCTATAGGAGATAGACGAAAACTAATATCGGTGTCTGGAGCTCAATTTTTATCAAAAAGATGATGGTGAAAACCGCACATCAATATCTGTTACCGTTTCAGAGTTACGGGGTGTTTTTCAAAAATGAGCATTTTTAACAAATCGCTGTAACTTTTTTGCTATGGAAAATTTTGTATTTCTATGAAAACATATCCAAAGCACCTTTTTACGTAGAATTTAAATGTTTAAGTATATTTTTTTTAAATTAATAATTTAAGAGTTATCAACAGAAAAAATAAATTTTTATTTAGGACCCCCTCTATATTTTTAATTAACTGAAAAGAATTTATAATTACCTTTCCAAAAATATAGCACTCTTGATATTTTGTTATAATCCCCTTCGAAATACAGAATTTTTATAAGTTCGCCACTTTTAACTAGTAGGCTTTGGACCACTTATTGATGATATGTCCTTAATTCGAAAACATATTTTTCCAGCAAAACGACGCACCGCCTCTGAACGCTGAAGTTATCAGCAAATTTTTGCAGCCAATTTCAAGAATATCTGGATAGCTAACCAAGATCCCAGCCGTTGGCCGTCGAGGCCGCCTGACTTAGTGCCCATAGATCTAATACTATGAATATATTTGTGGAAGTATAAAGGTTCCTTATTCTTCCGTATAATCTAAACAAGAATTAAAAATACTTAGCAGTTATAAGAGGGTATCTTTCACCCCCACTGAGTTAATGAATTCCGCGAGAAATTTTCAAAAACTGCCCCGTCTGTCCATAACAGAAGACGGTCGATATGTCGAACACTTGTAGCAAAATCTCATGTCTTGGTTTGCTATTTATTTTTATTGTTATTACATATAGTTTAAATGTGTTGATGTTGGTTAAATATATTTTAAATTGTTATAAAACTCTCAGACACCTATATTAGTTTTTGTCTATCTCCTATAGAAAAGGGTGTTTCTATTTAAAAGCGTCGAATTTGACCCACCCTGTACAACAAACTAGTAAACAGTAAAAATACTCTAACAAATACTCTAAACAGTGGAAATAGTAGAGGAATACAGGAGGAGTCTTAGATAAGTGCAAATATTTTTAGTGATAGTATATTTTGACTCCAGGAACACGATTATTAGGTTTTTTTGCGAAAATATTTTTTTTTAAATTTGGAATTTTTGGACAAAATTCTTGGATTTTTTTTTAGTTTTTAGTTAAAAAATATAATTTGTTGATAATATGACAACATAGGTAGTAGATTAAATTTACAAGAAAGAAAATCTAGAAAAGATTCTGTGGTTCTCAATATTTTAACTAAAATTCACTTTTTTTGAAAATTTTCAAAGTAAAATAACTCAGTAATTTTGGATTTATTTGAAAAACGGCGAAGAGAGAATATGTTTGTTTATTCGAGATCTACCAGCCCTGAATATATTTGCACTAATTTAAGACTCGCCCTGTATAGATCTACAATATCTACAACCAGAAACCAATAGAAGAATTAATTTTGTACGAAGTACTTATGAAAACTCAATAAACAACAAACAAAACTCAATAACTACAAAGGTATCAAATATAGTTATCAGTGAATATCCACACTATAACTAATTAATTTATAACATGTATCTCTTTTTAACAAAACACGGAAAATATTCCGCTACATTAATACATTTAGGTATTTCCGTTTCGCCGCGATACAAAAACCGTGTCGAACTGAAAATATATTTCTATGGATGCAGCACATTCAGTTAGAATAATTTAAATTGACGTGGTAATGTCGGATAAGCTGGACGAGTCAGCTGGAAAACGCGATACCGTTTTCATTAACCCGGTTTATTCTAACAAAAAAAAATGACAAGCCGTATTTTCCTATCGCTTGTATTATCGAAGCGGTTATTCGGATTTTATTTCTGTATTTTTTTTTGTTGGGCTTGTCATCAAACGAAATAATTATAAACGTTGGTTTGGTGTGTTTTAGAATTTTCTGCTTTTGTGATTTCTGATTAATTCATGATGTAATAATACTCATTAATAGTAGTTCTTTTATCAATAATAGTTCTATAACTTATTGGCAGTGGAATCAAAGATTTTTTGAAAATGAACAGTAGAATTTTTTGACATTTTTAAGTCATTTATCAAACTTATACCACTGAGCAAAATATTTACTTTGAATATAGTTGTTTATCAGTATCGTTCTAATTTTATTCAAAACGTGAAAAAATATGATGTAGGATAGACGTGGAATAGACTCAACAATTTGTTGTTTTATTTTACGTTGTGAATAAATGTTGGTAGTTTTTAAAATTGTTATAAAAATATATAACTCTAATAAAAATAGATAAGTTATAATAATTATTTATTAACACAAACATCCGATGCGCTATTGAAGCACGTAAGTCAAATTGACGTATCTAAATTCTTTGACATCTAATCTTTGACAAGTAGTAAATAAAAGCACAAATGCAAGAAAATATATGATTAGTTAATTTAAGTGAATTTCATAAATGATCGGTTTACTACACGTATGTATATTATATAGTAACTTACTAGCGAAAAGTTGTTCCAATATTTCACTCGATTTTAGACCGAGATCTACCGCACGCTACACAACCAACTATTTTAGAGTCTTTTTCGATAAATCGCAATAGTGTCACTGTTAATTTAAGTTCTGCCACAATTTCCATCTAGGTTTACTACCTTTATACAACTGTCAGTAGTAAAATAAATAATAAATAACATAAAATAAGCTCTGTAAAGTAAAATTTCAAATCAAATTCAAATGCATATTTCAAATGTGTCAAATGAATCGTCAAACAGAACCATAGATAAAAGAAAATAATCTACTATTAACAGAACTATCAAGGATCCCCACCCTAGAGTCCTTTTTCCGCCCACCATGCATGAATACATGGACAAAGAGTAAATAAGACAAGAGACGACAGTTCGCGCGGTACCTTTCATGTTTGAGTGGTGGGGAGTGTGACCTCGTCTCGCTTGTCCCTTTAAATTTTCGTAATTTTTTCGCGGAAAATTTGAAATAGAATATTATTAAAACTTGCCTGTATAGCTTATAAATAGTTACTGTATGGGTAAAGATATAAATAGAAACGAAAAAAAAAATGAGTTTTCTAAATATTATATAAAATAAATTATAATTAGAAACATATTTGTCGGGGAATAAAGATAATAAAAGTAATATTTTGTATATCGTTGGTAAACAAGATAAAGTGACCAAGTCGATTTGTAAGAAATGTTTTATTTTCGTGTATTTTTTTACATATGGACTTGAACAAGTGTAAAATCACAATGTGGAGTTTATGTACAAAAAAATATAGAGTTGCTCAATTTTTTTTGTAAAAATATATTACAAGCTTCTAACCATGTCTTCGATCTATGGATTACATTTAGTTTAATAACATAATTATATAGTATATTTCTATAAAAATACTTTTGAGGATCCTTTGGAAAAGAGTGAAATATTATGTTTGTCGAAGAATAAAACCTATTTTTGCAGTCTTTATAAGCACACACATTGCCACCATCTCGTCTTTTCCTGATACTCGTGTCCTGTTCAGTATTTATATTTAACAACATTTACAAATTAGTACGCAACAAAAACGATACTAAAATTAAACCTCGCAACTCAAAACGATAATATATCGAAAAACTCTGAAAACACACTTTAAAAAGGCAAAAATGCAAGAAAACAACTAATCAGTTTTGTTTATGTTTAGGCCTGATTAGCACATTAGCACATTAGCGCGTCCTAAAATCATAGGTTAGATTAGATAAAATACGCCGTTGTCAGATTTTGAGATTTTATCTGTTTATCTTTGAAATCGATCGACTTAGTCATTCTGTTTCTTTGATATTATCAGTACATTGCGAAAAAAGAACCTAAACCAACCTAAACTAAAAATTTACATTTCCGTATTAACATACGCTACTTATATCCTTCTAATATTATTAATTTATTTTCAGAAAATCTTGTTTATTTTTCAAAGAAATATACTTGGCAACAGACAAAATGGGACTTGATGGGACCTTTAAATTTTAATATATCTGCGTCTCTCTCGCGAAATTCGACTTCTTTGTTCACTGTCGTCTCTTGTCTTATCTACTCTTTGACATGGATAGCATTATGCTCCTTTCTTAATCTTTTTATTCAAACGTTTGTCTAAATGACGGACCCTTTTGTTTTATATCAGTGTCGAAGCTATCTCTAGTACATGACATTGGTCTATGCAGAACTGCCAGAGATCCCCACCCGAGCGCCTTCTCTCCGTTTGTAACTAACTTTATTTTCATCCCTTCTCTTATTAGTCATAAATAAAGATTTATATCTATCTTGCATACTCTTTTCCTCATGTGCGGGTTATTACATCACACAACAGGCGCACACGCACCAACCAAACAAAATTTAAAAATTTACCCCCCATTCCCGCAGGAAATCGTCTATGATTTAGAACAGGGGACGAATACCACCCGCCGCGCGTTGGAGTCCCTTACGCCCTACTACGACCCCTACCTTACATTTTAGGGTCCTGGGGCGCCGTATCTGATTGTCATTCTCGACGGGGCCGAGGATGAGCACGAACTACATCCATGTCTGCAACGGCCCCGTCCTTCGGGGGGTATTGTCCCGATGGCGGTTTTTGACGTATTTCAGATCGAAACTTTGTTTGCTTAGGTCGAGTTTGGATAGGGCGTATGCTTTTGCGATTATATGGCGAGCTGAAGAATATCGATGTGACAGTTTTCTTCATAGTCATGAAAATGTATAAAACCTGAGACAACGCTCATGTAAAATTAACTCAACAGTACATAGGTAGAAATTAAATTCGGTTAAAAATAAAAAATCGGTAAAAAAACTTTTAAGTTAAACGGTTTTATCTTGTGTGCACTGAAAACTAGAAAATAATAATAACAATTAGGTATTTTGAACTTCTAGTTCAGAAATATTTTAGTACTAGGCAGAATAGCTTTTAGGCATATTAGACTAAAATAAAACGTGGGGCCCCCTCTGAAATCCTACCTATGGCAAAGCATATCTTTATACTTTGGTAGATCATGAGCTCGGCGTTCGCTGGTGAAGCCGCCACGGCTGGTTATTGATTGCCAAAATCTCCAGTTACGATTATAGTAAGTCGATGTAATCCACACTTAGTATAGAAGAAAGTATTACAGCAATAGTTAATGTGCCCCACGTTTTTATTTTAGTCTAATATGCCTAAAAGCTATTCTGCCTAGTACTAAAATATTTCTGAACTAGAAGTTCAAAATACCTAATTGTTATTATTATTTTCTAGTTTTCAGTGCACATAAGATAAAACCGTTTAACTTAAAAAAAATTTTACCGATTTTTTATTTTCTAGTTTTTAGTATTTAACGGAAATTACCGAATATTCCTCATTCTATTTAATTCATTTAGTGCATCATTATTACATACGTTTTTTACCTGATAATTTATTACAATCTGACGCTCAGGTGTTTCTGACGCTAACAACTCTTCTGTCTGTCGCGTTCTGATGCTAGCCTAGACTCATGACGCTCAGGTGTTTCTGACGCTAACAACTCTCTTTATCTCTCTCGTTGTGATGCCAGCCTAGACTCATGACGCTCAGCTGTTTCTGCCGTTAACAACTCTCTCTGTCTATCACGTTGTGATGCTAGCCTGGACTCATGACGCTCAGGTGTTTCTGACTCTACCAGCTGCCTTTGTCTCTCACGTTGTGCTATTAACCTGGCATCATGTTGCTCAGGTGTTTCTGTTGCTAACCGTTCTCTTCGTTTCTGTAGTCGACTATAAGTTTCATTTTCACTTTCTTTTGCACGTTTCGTTCTATACTTTTCTTTCGCCTTTTCGAGCCTTCTTTTTCGTTGTGTAGCAGTTTCGTTTTTATTTTTGTTTGTGTTTTTATTTATTGTTTCCATGTTGTTCCCACGAGTAATGGACATTTTAACGGTCGACCCCAGAGGTCCAGTAGAGGGGCAAAGCTATAATATACAACAAGAGGCGCCCAATCTTGAGGGGAAACGCTTGCGACATTACATTTTTAGCCACCCTAATGCCATACAGTCCTCAGCACATTTTAACCTATTACCTTAACTTGGGTGGTAAAGCTACCGCTAACTACGTAGATACATCTAATCACCTATTTTTTTTATCTGTCCTTCTAACGTCACACAATCTTGGACACAACTGTTCTGGACACGACTGCTCATGCCCTCACCTAATACGCCATTTTGTAACGACGTCCATCTTGGATTTTAAATTTTGTCATAATCACAGTATTCTACTTGTGTAGCCCTTTCATTTGATACCCATATTGAGGGGGTTGTGGAAAAATATGAAATCCGCCATTTTGTACCGGCGGCCATCTTAGATTTACAATGTTATTGATATTACTATATTGTATTGTCATCGGAACTAAAGGTGTGTACCAAATTTCAGATCAATCTGACAACAGGAAGGTACTTAAATTTCAATTTCTAATTTTGACCCAAATAAATAAATACCGTACGGGTCGAGCTAAATAAAACCGTTTAAAAATTATAGTATTTGACTTATTATAGAGGATTAATCGAAGGGTTGGTATTTTTCCCTATCTTTAAAACAACCCTGTGGTCAAATTTTCCTAAAATATTGTTTTTCGGTCAAGAATTGTGACAAATCTTTTCAGATTCATCATTTTTTGTTATGGGTAGCGTGACTATTTTATAATTATAAAAAAAACAATTAAGTTGAGCGGAAGGCAAACTTGGATAAAAAGTACACCGACTCTTTGGGACGTATGTTTAATGCTTTATCTTGATAATGTTAGTCTCTCAAATCTACTATCTTACCTTAATTGCGGCCCAACCTCTGCCCGAAAATCTGTAGCTCTTTTCTCGAGTCGTTTCTGGACTGCTCTGGAGATATTCTGCTCGTTCATAATGATCTCATTTATATACTTTTAAAACACTTGTTATTTTTTTACCCTAGAAATAAAACGGCCGAGTTTTTAAAGAAACATTTAAATTTAATATTAAAAAAAAATAAAGAACAAAAAAATATATATATAAGATCAAAGTTACTTATTACTATTAAAAATAATGAAATAGATAAATACAGGAAACTTGTCTGTTGTCTGCTTTATTGAGAAATAATGGCAATTACTTAATAAATTGAACCTTTCGTTACTAGATCAACACATTAAAACAATTTTCAAGACGGATAATAAAACAGAAATTAAGAATATTTGACAAAAAGACTTAAAAAACCACTATTAGCAGACACCAGACTTAAAAACTACAGGGGGTCACATCGTGAACTTTACCGAGTTTCGCGAACCCGAGGTCTCTTTTAGAAACTTAAATCGAACTAACTTTTCTGCCTAAAAACAGCCCCGAGGTTCCAACATTACCGGGTTGACAAACCAAACCAATAGGATCATCCCTAAAAGTACTGTTCTTTGTTTGATTGGTCAGCTTGACACCGCCCTTCAAACCAAGTTGGTTCGACCTCCCGTTGTTAGATGGCAGTACTATGACCATCTTACGTATTTAATTCTCGTTTGGCGCCCTTTACATCTAGGTACGTGCTTTTCGAAAGTTCACAGATCCTTTACAAACATCCGGCGATAGTTAAACATGTTATCAAGGGTGGTTATTGGTTTTACAACGTCCCAGCGTTTTTATCTAAGGTCTATCTTTACAATTTTTTTGTTTGCTTCTATGTTCTACAGTTTATTTGCTTTGTCCTTCTATAAGTTTGGGAATTTAAAAATATTCACGTTTGAAAGATGTTTGTTTTATTACTTCCTGTTGAAAGATCCTGTCAAGAAACTAACAACCGAAAACATCGACTTGAACGTAAAGGACATAGGAAATAATCTGTTAATAATATAAAGGAAATAGTCTGTTACAGACTCATGTGCCCTGAATATTTTGTTTTTTTAACTCATGTCAACACATGCCTTGGTTATTTTTTAAGAGCAAAATGAACTTGCCACAAACATTTTTCAATTTTTTCAAATTATCATTAGTTTTTGATCTTATTCTTCATAATGACGAGGTGGCTTTGTTGATTATTGTGTACGATTGAATCTGGTTCTTATTGTCGAAGATTGTGCAAAAGTCGTTGATCTTGTTGATGGCCGAAATTATGAATATTCGCTTGGTCCTTGAAGAAAATAAGGAAAACAACACAATATATTTGCAGCGTTATTAACAGTATAAAAGAAAATATGAATCGACATCTACAAACAGCCGGGGAAGGTATACAAAGTATTAGAGTATTTTTTACTAATTATTAATTTATTAAAACCTTAAAAAAATTATTAGTATTACTAATATTAATTTATTAAAACCAAACCTGTATCGTTACTTTTTAAAGTTTTTTAAATTTTAATATAAAATTCTAATCAGTGTTGATATGATATTACAACAATAATCACCAAAACCATCTTGTGATAATAACAAATAACATCATAAAATAATGATAGTTGAAAAAATTGCAAATTGTTGGTGGCAAGTTCATTTCGCTCTTAAAAATTAACCAAGGCATGTGTTAATACGAGTCAAAAAAGAAAATACTCAGGAGACATGGTCCTGATAGAAAAATAATGTTTTAGGAAAAGTTACTCACTAAATTATTGCACAGGGTGTTTTAAAAAACAACCCTTCAATTAACCCTGCGTAATAAGCTAAACACTAAAGTTTATACATTTAAGTTTACTTATTTCACTGAGATTTATGAAAAAAAAGTCCTTTGCCTCGGGTACAGATACCGCCACGTTTTGGAAATAGCTCAAAACGAAACAAAATTAAACGAGGCAAGAGGAAACGCCAAAACGAGTAGTTTTCAAGCGCTTTTAAGAATCGAAAGTAGGTCGAGGAAAACCAAAGTAGGTCAAAGTGGGTCAAGACAACTGGAAATAAACCGAAATGCGACGAAATGCGACCTTGACCTACTTCGAAGAGTTCTCCGCATAGTATAGAGGCTGTTTAACACTTTAAATTTGTCGAAAAAAAATTCTGTTGCCTTTTTTACATCTGAGAATTCGACGCTCATCATTGGGATTTCGGAAACCGTAAGGGATACAGGATCGGTTAAATGGAGGCAAAGTTGTGCAATTTCATGCTCAATAAAATGCCGTATTGCATTTTGAAAAATAACGGAATTTTCAATTTTGTTTTCTATTGTTTCCGGGCTTTATTTGTTGAGATAACTTAAAATGAAAAACACATTTTCATGGCCACGTTTTCTGCCCTATAACTCTGTGTGATTAAATATTGACTCTGACGTTTCGGCTTCTGGCGACCATCATCGACTTAATTTTTTTAAATACGGACCTGATTTTTTTTTCAATTTATTTAAATCCTTTCATCGCTCTTAAAACACTATATATAGTCACTTTGATATTTGCCGACGTTTCGTGCAGAAAATTACATCACCAGAATATTTTATGCAAGAAGTATCAAATTGCGCAACTGTGCCTCCATTTAACCGATCCTGTATCTCTTACTGTTTCCGAAATCCCAATGATAAGCGTCAAATTCGAGCCACCCTGTACATTGAAATATCCTTGTTACAATTACATTATTCAAAGCCTATCCGACATAAAGTCCACAAAAGATTCGAACAAACGAACGTGAAAATAATTATTTTAAAACCTAGTCTGTCCTGTGACAGCTACAAATAACCAA